TCTTTGATGGTCTCAGCCCGAGTTGCTGATTATTGAATGAAAAGACAAAAAAATATCAATCCACCCCTCCCTCCTCCCCCATCACGTGCGGCTACGGGAAGGACAAATTGGGTGACAGTTGGCGAGTGGAGATGCATTTGTCATTCCAGCCGAGGGCGCTTGTCGACCCGGCAGCGGAAGGGACATAACGAGAACCATGGGAGAGGCGCGGCACCCCGGCCCTCCACGAGCGGCACGCCGGAGCGGCACGCGCGATCTCCACGGGCCGACTCGACGGCCAGGTCTCACCGATGCGGGGGGGGGGGGGGGGGGGGGGGTAATGGGGCTGCTGCGGGTGAAGGGGTGGCCCGGACGAAGCTGAACACGCGAAGGGAATACGGAGAGAGAATATAGGTGAAGACGCAGAATTCGACGTGGTCTGGGTTTTTATTTCTGCTTTAAAGTGGCCGGGTTTCCTTGCCGAAGTGCTAGGGGTCACACGCGGGCACAGAGGGCCGTGTTCATGGCCACGGCTCGGCTGTGTTCTCGCTCGGCCCCCAGCGCAGGTTGACCATACTTCACCACGCTGCTCAGCACGGGTTGGTGAAGGGACCCGGAGACCAGTTCAGATGTCACTCGCCACCAATGTTAACAGCCATGGCTGTGAATTGAACCCAGGTTGCTGAGTTTGTAAGTGCAGTGCCCAAATCACCGTGCCATCGCACCACCCTGTACTTTCCACTGTTTGAGGCCTGGTAGACAGTAATGGAGCCCGTTTCTCCCGGACGCTCCCCCTAAATTTGTATTCACATCGCTGGAATTAAAGCAATTGCACGAGGCGTCAGGTAGGACACCGTCGAAAGGTTACTCATTTGCTCCAGCTCGTGTGTGACCATACTTTGCCATGATCGTCGGTGTGGGTTGGTGCATACGGTGGAGCATTGTGCAGCCAGTACCGGCTCAGAAAACGCTCGCGGGGCTTCGTGGCATGGTGCGCGCTGCCCGCTGCGCCACCGCTGCGCTGTCTGGCCGGACGCGAGTTGAAATTGAATCTGCCGTGACTAATCGCCAGTGGGCACAACCTGCTAGCGCGGCGCGGATGAAGTTACCCCGTCTGCGTTTTCCAAATTTCGCACAATGGGCGCAATGAGCGCGGGGCAATTAAAGCGGCGGGCACGTTTTTTTTCATTCGCGCCTCCTCCAAAGGGCAGAGTCGCCCCCACCCCCTCCTCGCGGTCGAAACACCTGCCGCGTGAAATCTGCGCTACGCAAAAACAAACAAAAAACTTTCGGTCGTACCCCCCCACCTCCACCACCTCCATCACCACCACCACCTCGTCCCAGGCGTCCCACCGCCCACACGTGCCGGCGACCCGCGAGCAGCAAACCTTTCTCTAGCGACGACAGCGGCGGGGCAACGCCGCGGGGGTCGCTTCGTTTCCGACGGCCCCCCCCCCGAGCCACCGGATGTCATCGTCGTCGCCGCCGGCAGCGGGGATGGGAGCGAGGGCGCGCTCATCAAGTTTGCAATCGAACAAAGGTTTTTTTTGGTCACGACCGACAAAACCGTGGCGCCGCGGTAGCGCGCAGGGAGAAACTAACGCCCGCGGAGCGCTGGCTTCAGACATTTGAGCGTTTCCTTAAAGGTTGCCCCATTAAGGCATTTGCCGGCAAAAGATTGATTTCCGAAGAGAAGGGACAAAGAAAGCAAGCCAAAAGAATAAAGTCAAGTGCCGTAACCATATAAGTGGGAGAAGGCAGCGAAATATAATTACTAAACTCTTAAACTATTATATTTTTTTCATCAAATAAGGCTCTCTAAGCTATGTAGCTCTTTTTCAGAAGCCACCTGGCCACAAAACGATTTCTCAACAACATCGTGGCAATTGATAGCATGTTTCTCAATGTGGAGGGAAAAACCGGAGGATTCGGAGAGAAATCCACGCGGCCACAGGGAGAGAGAGAGAGAGCGAACATGCAATCTCCAAATACACAGCAGGCGTCATGCTCGGGATCGAACCCACAACAATAAACAACAACGACAACAACGACCGCTCCGTGCCGGGTCTCATCGAGCGGCGCTGGGCGTGTGCAGCGCGCGGCCAAATCAAGCGGCGTTCCCTGGGATGCCGTTGTTGTTTATCCCCCCCCACCAACCCCCCCCCCCCACTGCCCCCCCTCCCCCCACCGCCCCACCCACGCGCCACCGCCGTTGTCTTGGCCCTCAGCTGCGCTCCTCCACCTGGCCCCTACCCCAGCGGTGTGGTGCCTCGCCTCCCACCCACCACCACCCCCCTCCCCTGCCATCGGGGGCCCCGAAGCGTGAATTATAAAAGCCCGGTGAGATGACAGGGCAGAGATAAATACGAGAGGTGTCGGTGTGGCGAGGTTAGAGAAATGTAAGCACACGTGTAGATGTTGAGTGAGATGACGGGAGATGCGGGCGAGATAGAGATGTGAGAGATTAATTGCCGTTTTATGTTAATTAGCTCGTTATGTTTGATTAGGATTTGAAGTTGGGACTGGCGTTTTGATGCGCCCGTGTTGTTTAATGAATCTGGAGCCCCCCCCCCCCCCCCCCGCGCTGCTTGGGTTACCCTTATCTGTCGCTCGGTTGGTCTACGCCCGGCGCCCCCACTAAACCCGGGCTGCCCCCCTATTGATGATGCCCTTCGCTGCGTTTCATGGCAGCACAGTGGCAGTGGGGGTGGCGGTGGCGGTGGTCGAGGTGGGGGTTGTGGTGGGGGGCGAGAAGCCACGATACAGCTTCCTGGGGGGGGGGGGACACTTCCTGTCCGTCCAGGAGCAGGACTTGAAAAACCCGTTCCCCGCCCCCAGCCCCACCCTACCCCCCACCCCACCACCTCGAGGGGCCAACCTTCCGCCAGTGCCGGCTCTTTGAAGACGCATTGATATGCACGGTGGGGGCGAGCGATTTAAATGTAGGCCGTGCAGCTGGCTCCACGGGCCTCACGATTAATATTCGCCATTTATTATTTATTTACCTACTCACTCGTGACGCTCGTTTAAAATATTTGTTTCGATGAGCGCAGCACCCGTCGTCGGTACATTCACTTGCGTGTAAATCTATATATCTTTTCCTTCATTGACGTTCATTAATTTTGAATCGCGTGAAAAAAATATACGAACGTGTCATCGTCTCCTGAAATGTTCACATTCCGGCGGATGAAATTGTGCCTGCCGCTGCGATTCCGCTCGCAAATCCCCAGGCCTCGCAATCCCATGCTTCGCTTTCCGCTCGCAATCCCAAGGTTCGCTTCCCAGCGGGCTTGCCCGAGCCACCGCCACCGACTCAACGCTTCTGCGTCTCGCGCCGTGACCGTGTACCCAGCGGCTGACCGGCTTACAGAGCAGGGAATCGATTTGCAGATTGCACATGGCGATGGGGTAAATGGTGAGCAACCCCCCGGCTCTTCTGACCTCTCTGCTGCTAGCATGAGAAATGAGTCCGCGGGCGGTGTCGGACGGGGCAGGCTGGGGCCTGCTGGGCCAACACACGGCAGAACTGCCCTTTGCTGAAGATTCATTTTCTCTCTCTGTCCTGCCGATTATTTTACAACCGTTGCGACCGCTGTTTGCTCGATGAGACGGAGACTTTTCCATTCGCAGCTCTTGCAGATTTGCAGCAGCGCACCGCCCCGTGTCCCACTGCATGGCCCCCAGAAGGTGGCGTCAGGGGGTCACGTCAAGAGCCCTCTTGATCCGCACGAGAGGGAAATATTTCCTACGTTCGGCAAAGATTGTTTGTGGCTTGTCAACGAAATCAAACTGTTCTTTGGTTTTTTCGGTAAAGTCACGTATAAAAATAAAATAATAAACGTGACTTTACCGAAAAAACCAAAGAATAATTCCTGCAGTCACGAAAGCTCCAAAATTAAGATTGAAATCAAACTGATTTAACTCTCAACGCTGGAATCTAGTGTGTGACCTAGATGGGCCAAGCTGGGTATGACACGGTTTTACCGTGATGTTAATTGTAATATAAACTTGTTACTGCACAATCATATTGTCTAGGCCGGTGGCTCCCAACCTACGAATATTTTGTCCTTTACGGTGGGACACGAAAGTAGTTTGAGGGTCGAGAGTGCATCTGTAGTGAAGTATATTGAGTCACTGTGGTGTTAGCACTAGACACTATGAGAAGAATGTAACTGTGCGTCTTAGAGCCTCTCTCTGTCACCAGAGTACGTGTGGCATACGAGACAGGCTGGGTGAACCCGAGAGGGCACATGACCAGGAGAGGATAAGGACGGGGGGGGGCAGAAGGGGACCGAGGGGACATGTGATGTGAGGTCCCAGAGCCTTCTGGGAAGATCTCAAAAGGGGCGTGGCCGAGGGCGGAGCAAGGCCACGCTCAGGGGATGAGAAGGGGGATCGTGTGAGCTGAGCGGGGCTGTTCTCTGGAATCAACCCTCGGTGCTACGTTTCTTCAATCTTCGGTCTTTGTTTGGCATCGTGGGTCAGTCAGGCCGTTACTGACTGACTCGGTTATGTAGGTACCCGGTTAAAGTAGAGTCGTTAAACTGTTAGGGTCTAGAGTGTACGTTCATGTTGTTAGCCCCGTTGGGCTGTGTGATAAACGTGTTGCCTGCAAGTTAGAAGTGTCTGCCTCCGTGGAACCCACTACACATACAAACGGTTGGCAGGCATCCACACACCGGTTGACGCCAAACTCTGATCAGGCTGGGCCCGAATTCATCGGCTTTTTTAATCCTCCCGTGGGGCCGATATAGAGCAACCGATCAGATGTTAAATTTAAGGTTGATTTGCTACTGAATTGCGACATCCTGAGGCCTTGTGGAGCGTTGGCATGCCTCCTCCTTCCAACTGTGCAGCGCAGAGCGTGGCCATGGGCCATGCGAAACAAAGTCCTGGGCCGTACTCAGCGATGTCAGTGACAGGGGTACGTTGAACCACCAGCGGGCACTCGCTGCAAAGGGAAAATAAATGGGCGGGCGGGCGGAGAGGGGGGCGGAGGAATTGCGAGTGGGCGCGCTCACCAGCTCGAGGCCGTTCTTGCGTAGGCGGCGGCACGACTTGAGGTAGGTGCGGATGCGCTTGCGGGCTCGCTCCTGGAACTCGGGGAACTGGCGGTGGCACGACTCGAGGATGGCCTGCACCTTCTCCTTGGGCTGCTTGGAGATGGGCACCATGCGGTCCAGGTTCTCGTCCACAAAGAGACGGACGAACATCTGTGGCGGTCGCATGCAGAGCAACCCCCAACGCTTAGCCTCACGCCAGGAAAATCCACGCACCCACAGGGAGAGAGAGAGACACGCAAACTCCAAATATACAGCAGCAGGGTCGGGATCGAACACACGACGTCCTGCATACCAGACGAGGTAGTTAACATCTCCTAGCCACTGCAGCGCCCACAATATAGCGGGACCCTCCTCAAAAAGAGTCTTGAGACTCGGATGCTCTCCTGGCTAAAGACGATTATTGTCATTATGATTTGACAGCTAAAGGAGGGAACGCGCCCAAGGGCACATCCACTGCGGAGATGGAATCAGCTCCAACGCAGGCCGCTCGGATTTTTTTGACATCGCGGGACCGTGAGAGATGAAGGCAAAGCAGGGGAGGCCTTCATCCAGCGGTGGATTGACCGTGGCCCGACGAGGACGATTTGTTTTGCTGATCTCTGCGGGCGGCGCAGAGCGGTGCGCCTTCGACGAGGTGCATCGTCGCTGGGCGCGACGACGGCGCTTCCTCCCACGCGCCCTCCCGCACGCCCGCCGTCGCGGCTCCCCGCCCGACATCTCGTGCTAATTACGTTAATTGGCCCGTACCCCAATTAAGCGTCGCGCGTGCAGATACGAGGACCGGCAGGCACGCGGCAGACAGGGTCGCTCGGTGCGGGCTTCCGGCAGAGCGGTGGCGGATCGGGGGGGGGGGGACGTGGGGGGCCATCTCCCCCCCTGGAGACCCCCAAGAATTGGTATTTTATTGATTTTTACCAGAGGAGATACAATTAATGTTTTATATTTGCTATTAATATTGGGCCCGATTGAACAAGCTTGAAATAGTTTAACACGTAGGCTTTCGCGACCAATATCATCCATAAGAGGTTTTTTTTGTACGTTGACTCATTAATCCCCCCGCCCCACGTTGCACAAGAGCGCAGAAGCGTGGTCACCACGTCTGCGCCTCGACGTAAGGAACGAGACAGGCGGACTTCTCCACAAATGTGGCTGTCGCCTGATGAAGCTGGTTGTAATTTCTGGCAAAACGTCGTACTCAGATTGTAAATGTTGTGGCTTGGCTCTCCAACACACCGGTTAGTGCTGTACTCGTGACGAATTGGCCACGTTCTGTTTACGTGACAACCCTTACTAGTTGGCTGTGTCGGGTGGTGGCGGGTTTTAACGACACATTTATATATTTACGCGAACTAACCCCACAAAAAATTGAAACCTCTATTAAGCTTGAAATATCTAGTCCACCCCCCTCGCACCCTCGCGGGAAGTTTCGAGATGTACCGCTGCGGGAGAAGCCAGACGATGTTTGAGGAAACGACTGAAGGCGGCCGAGCGAGACGGGCCGACTGCCGCTCAGCGAGTGCCGGGCCCGACGGCACCAACACCGGAGCGGCGGCTAAACATCACCGTCATCGTCACGATCAATGGGGCGGATAGCTCGTAAGGTGTCCACTGCACATGTCGCCATTTGTTGTTTCTACTCTCCTCTCCGCCTTGTGGCAATATGCTCAAGCAGTGGCCACGTGTTTCTGGCACCGATCTCTTCGTGTCGTCGTCAAGACGGTCTCTGCGAGGTCTTCATCTCTATCCGGTTCCTTCCATTTTTCCCGAACAATAACAACCTATTTACATTTTCCTGGCACTGGGTGCTAAACAAAGCCCTGACTAAACAGCGGTGAGGGGACAATGCTACGCACACGCACACGCACGGCGTTAATTAGCCTCCAGCATTGTCAAGTATGCAAGTTGGAGACATCGTAGCGACTGACAAGAACATTACGTGGGCTTGGGGCTGGGCACGGCGCTGGAAGAGACGATGGCCGAAGATCACGAGAATAGCAACGGAGACTCAGCCAGAGGAGGGAACGCGCCACGGAATAATAACGAAAACAATAACAATAGAACGTATACTGTGGAGATGGAGCAATGAAAGTGTCTTGCGTGCAGAAGCTGGAGTCGTGAGACAGATCCTTGCATGGCGAGACTGTGAGAGATGATGACTGTTTGTATGGTATGTAAAAGTTTTTTCGCACCGTACGTAGCCAACAGTGCTAATCGGAGATGCTGGGGAAGGACATCAAACGAAACACAAAAAGCAGTTGTAAAGAAATAACTTTTCAATGTAGGTGATTTAATATCGGAAGGAAGAGCGTTCCAGACGGCCACAGAAGTGCACCTGAAAGCGCCGCGCGATGCGGTGACCGAGGAGGCCCCCATCCAGCAGTGGATAAAACATGGCGACGATGGTGTCACGTACACAACTTGCAGTGGTGTCCTCCAGCGAGTGTGTGAATCCACGGGCAGCACTGAGTGACTCTGCATTGATCCGCTACCGTGAAGACATTTCCTTACGTGGCTCCATAATCTTTAATTCGCTAGGGTATGTGGAATGAAACTGTGAACGCGTGACTTTTAAAGCGCGTGCAACTTCCCCCGTTTAACCACAGCAAGCCAAGGTCCCTCGCTTTCACGCGGGGTAATACATCTTTCTGCGCTCTCGGCCGGTGAAAGGACGACGAATTGAATGCGTTAATGAAGCCGCACAAGGAAATCAACGCCGCTTCACAAGGAAATTAATGGCACTAAAAGTGTGGCTCTAATCACGGAACGAAATGAAACATTCCCAAAGCTAAATTAATTGTGAGAAAAAAAAAGCGAAAAAAAAATAAATAACGTTGGAAATAAATAATTATCCCGGGTCGCGTCCGGTGTGGCGTGCGGCCAAGGCTAAGAAAAGACCACAGGTAGCTGCAGATAACACTTTATTTAAATTAAGCTCCCCGTTTAACGAGAGGAGAGAGCGGCGGAGGCGGCGGCAGTGGAAGCGGGGAGCGAGCGAGCGAGGAGCAGATTACCGCACGGCTCCCCTGATGCGTGCGGAGCAGCCACACAATTAAGCCACATTCGATGCGCGCGGAGCGATGGCACGGCGGCGGAGGCCAGGCCACACGGCTCATTTCCATCCCAATAATTTGCCAGCCTTCCTCACTGATAAGGGTGATAGACGGCTGCTGTAAAAAAAAAATTTCCTTTGTGCCTCTAAAACCACCACCACCTCCTCCTCCCCGCCCCTCCTTGCCACCTCACCCCCTCCACCCCCGCCCCTCCATCTCCTGTCCCCCTCAATCCCCACGCTGTCGTCTCCTCGCTCGTCCGCAGCAGCAGCAGCAACTCCCCCCACCCTCCCCGTCGGCCCCCGGCCCAGCCACCCGCTCCCCTCCCCCTCCACCCCCATCTCTCTCCCCCCCCTCTTTTTCTCGCCACCCATCCCGCGACGACGCAGCTCCTTTCTAATTTCCGCCGCGCGGCTCCCGGGGGCTGCAGCCGATGCTGTCGCCCGCGCCGCGAATCGCCGCCGCCGCCGCTACCGTTCGGAGCTCGCTCCGAGAGAGGGGGAAGTGAAAATTTCCGTTCGCCGTTTTGTGCTAAAGTGTTTGTGAAAGCGTCCTGCGGAGACGGCGCGCGACACGCACGCGCCTACGCGGGACGTTCGCGTGTCCGTCCTGACGGCACGGAATGTGGCGCGCGACAAGCGAGCGTCCGTATGCACCGCGCCGCAGCCGATAGGGGCTGCTGGGAATTCACGATCGTCGTGGCTTCATTCTTCTTGCGACGTTATTTTTTTTTTGTCAAGGCGAGCGATGGAATAAACAGCACGGGGGAAAGGAAGGCATCTGAAATCAAAGAACGAGGACTGGAAAGGAAGGGGATGGGGGTGGCGTCGTGTTCAGTGAGCTCACACATCATTAGAGTTTGACGATAAAGAGGTTCGAGGAGGTGGGATTGCAGTGACGCTGGGCTAGGAATGTGTGGCACATCATGGGATGTCGGCGGCACAAGTGGGAGGTAACGTTCATCCTCCTCCGCTGCCCCCCCCCCCCCTGCCCCCATAGTCTGGAACTTCCATCCCCCAGCCATCCGTGCCGCCAACACCCTGCTCCTGTTCAGTTTCAGGATCGTCCTCTGTAGCCCTGCCTAATCGCGCCGTGACGGTCACCCCGTTGGAGGAACTCAGCGGGAAAGGGGAGGGTCGGGGTGAGTGGGGGGCACGAGCGGGCGGGCGAGTGGGCCAGCGAGCGGGCCAGCGAGCGGGCCAGCGAGCGGGCCAGCGAGCGGGCAGGAGACTCACGTTGAAGGCCTTGAGCCTCTCGGGGTCGGCGCCCTCGACGTCGCCCATCCTCTCCGCGTCCTCGTCGTGCTCGTCGTCGTCGTCGTCCCCGCCACGCACGGGCGACGCGTCGTCCGCCACCGCCGCCACCGCCGCCACCGCGGCCACCGCGGCCACCGCCTCCCGACGCCGCAGCTCGTATCCGGCCGCCACCACCGCCACGGCAGCCGCGGCCGCCACCATGCCCCTGTGCGGGGACTGAGGGAGGAACGAGGGCATGGGGGCGGAACGTCATCATCATCATCAATCATCATCATCGTCAATCATCATCGTCAGTCACGATCGATGCACTATGGGATGAAGGCCTCTCCAAGCCGTGGAACTTCGCCCAAGGTCCCGGTGGTGCAAGGATCCGGCCTTGAGGTCCTCCTGTCCCCGACCCTGCGCTGGGTCGTCGCAGGCAGGGCTGCTACGCTAGTGGGGGGCCATGTCGGGAAACGCCGGTGATGGGGGGGGGGGCAAAGACAAAGATATTGCAGCCTTTAACAGAGTGTATGGAGCAAGCGCCGTTAGCGAGCACCTACGAAGGCTGCCACATCTCCCAAGTGGCGATATTTACACACCGCACAAAGTACAAATTTGAGGCTGAGTCGACCTAGGGGAGGCCCAAGACCGGTTCAGATAATCGTCACTGGTGGTGGCCGTGAGCGGGAATCGAACCCGGGCCGCCGGGTTGGTAGCGCAGCGTAGCGCTAATCGCTGCACCTCCGTTCCCCACAAGACGGGGGAAACGCGTGCACACAGTCGCCCCCGTGGTAGACGGCCGCGGTGGCCTCACAAGAAAAGCGTCCCGCGATTAACGACGAAGCTCAGGACGACAACAACAACAACAACGACATTATCTTTAGTTTAATTCCACCACACTCAGCTGAGCAGCAAACAGGTGCTACGGCAGAAATCATTTGCCGGACCGATAGGGAACTGGGAGCCTGGAGGCTAAAAATAAACTTATTGACCCATTTTATGGAGAAGTGAAATGGTGTCCTGACTGCGACCTGCACAGGGAGGAGGCTGTTGGGGCCCTCGCGAAATAAAATCTAAACGGCGATAGGGGCGCGTCGCGTGTCCACACGCCACGCGCGGTCGTTCGACGTGGCTGGGAACACAGGGGCCCCGTTTGCTCCCCGGCCCACACTTATTTGCAACCGTTTGTCAATCCACCGCTTGCAATGTATCCCTCCTCCCCGTGCCTGTTACGGGGATCCATTTTTTTAGTAGTACGCAAAAATCTGTCAAAACTTGACCCCCCCCCCATACGCACACAGACTTTTTACACCCCCCCCACCTGCGTACGTATGCCTGACGCACACCCCCCCCACCCCGAATCCTATAGAACGGCCGATATTTAATCCACGCAGAAACAATCAAGGATAATAATATTAACGCGTTTAAGCAAACTGATAGTCCACCACCTATGCTTACGTACATAGTAAACCCCCCCCATATGCAAGCGTAAGCATTTGGGTTAACCCTTCTCCATGCGTACGTACTAAATGGATGGCCCCTTGCCGTACTTCACCACCCTGGGGTCAGCAGCGCGGGGTGTTGAAAGGTTGGCCCGGCAACGATCCCTTTGGACGTCGCTCGCCACTGCCACAAATCCCCAGCGGCTGCTTGGCGAGCGAGGGGCGAGGGGCGGTGCCGAGATAACCGCTCGCGGCGAGGACCGACGACTCCGCCAGGGGCGCTGACCGCGCGCGCAGTTCGCCAATTTCATCGGAAATTTCAACGGACTCTCGAGAAGTGCTTCTCGGCAGGATTACTTAACCCCGACCTTTTTAATTGTCACAAATTGGGGGTAACGATTTAAACGTGGCCGCCATTGTTGTGATGAATGTACAGCAATGCCTCTAAGTGGCTGCAGGGGTGTGAGAACCAACTGCACGAGACGGAAAAGTGTGCAAGTTAAAATAATAAATTATCATCCGCAAAATTCGATTCGTGTGTCCATTTCAATTCTAGCCAGTGCATCATTTCATGCCTCTCCCTTGAAAAGTAAAGTTGCGCGGCGCAGTGCTTTCTCACACGGGGCTTTCTCACACGGGACTATGAAACCGGCGACCTGAAATTTCATTCCTGACCACTGGTGGGTGATCCAAACCAGTTGTGGGCCCCGTTTCACCATCCCAGTGCTGACCAGCATGATGAAGTACGGTCAAGCAATCCCCATAGCTGCCACGGCACCGGGGAGACCTTCATCCGGCACGCGCGGCTCTCCCGAAATCCATCCGCGAATAAATTCGGCTCGTCGCGCCTCGTGGCCGGGAAGTGAAACCGGAGGTCCCGGTCGCCCGAATCAATCGCGCAATTCCCGTGGACGCGTCGCCGCGGCCTCATCGACCGCGGCGGCACCCCCATCCCTCTCAGTCAGGCGGGGCGCGCGAGCGATTCCGCAGAGGGGCTTTGTCACAGTCGCCCGGTGCTGCCACGTGACCGATAAATGGGTCAGAGGCGCCGGCGTGGCGCGATGTCACCCCCACCCCACCGCACCGCCCCCCCCACCGCGTTCGCAAAACTGCGCTGCCAAATACCACGGCGGACAGGAGGAGCAGGAAATCAAAGCGCCTTACTCGGCTGGGAACGTGACAGCGCAGCCGGCCAATCGCGGATTCCTCTCCACGGCCGCGTGCTGCGGCGGCGGACGCGTGGGTTTGTGGAACGGCTCGTGCCTCTGCTGCTGTGCGCAGAATCTTAAGGCCCTAGAACACCAGCATGCTTGTTGCATGCGGAAGCGTGTTTCCACACTGCGTTGTTGTTTTCTGTCTTTTTCGCGATGTGTCATGAAGTGTCCGTTCAGAACTCTGGCAGAGCAGTGCAACCCCACGTGAGAGAGCGGCCCGCAGAAGGAAATATTACAGATCGCATTCTGAGATCACGTTCGGTGATTTTTCTTTATTCACACGCTACACTTTCTCCCGTGCTCTGCTGCAAATTAGCTAAATGGAGTAAAAATCTTAATGCAATGTTCATGTCACGTCATAGGATTCCTGAGCATGTGACTCCTGGAAAGGAATGACCAGCAGCAGCCAGCTGCATTGATTATAGGATTTGAATGAGGTCCCCTAAAGCCACGCGTCCTACAGCTTCCTGTGAACTGCCAGATGCGGCGCAAGAGGAAGACGCATTGTCAACCGCGAATGAGGATAATTTGCATCCTCACATTTGAAGACGCTCAGGAATTCCGGGCTTGGGTTGTCTTTTCCTGAGGACTCACCAACGTAGCCCGCGACACATGACTCTATGCAGCAGTTCATTCTGTAAGACGACGCACATTTCTCAGCAATTGCTCATCACCGCCAGTTTATAATTCACGCGCCACGCTATTGGATTTGCTGTGAATCTCACTTGCGCTTCCGAAAAAATCGCAGCAGCCAGCGTAAGAGAAACGTGGAGCTGAACGTGTGCGGCTAATCAAGACTCGGGCGTGTGTGGGTGAGCGTGTCGCCGTGGGAGTCGGTGCCTGTACAGGGATGGAACAATGGGCTTTGGCCATTGCCCAGGCGATTGTGTTGGTGTGGGGCCAGGCAGCGGAGAGAGGGCACATCGTGGAGGCACGGAGCCCTGGCTCCATCTCCGTGGCGAGCGTCACGTACAATTGACTGCCATCAACCTGGGGGGGGGGGGGGCGCCCCACTGCAGCCTTCCAATAATTGAGTGCCCCCAACGTCATTGGCACCTCCTCACGCGCCGTGCGAGAATCGTTGCTTCTTAGCTACTGAAGGGCAATGATGGGTATGCCCCTCGAATGCCCCGCACGCTCAAAAGCAAATTGCTGCCGCGAGCAGAGCTCTCAATGCACATGGTCGAGTTCAGACGCGGCACAGTGGGAGAGCGGTGGCGCTGTGAGCCCGGCCACCGGAGTTCAATTCTCAGCCACGGCTGGCATCAATGACGCGTTGTATCCGAACCGCTCCTAGCCCCCACCCTCCTCCCCAACTTGCGCTGACCGGCGTGGTGAAGTATGGTCTCAAACAACCTCCATTACCGGCACTCCGTGGGAAAGTCTGCATCCAATGGTGGGCTGTAAACGTGGGCACGTCAGCTCCGTATATTCCTGCCCGGAGCATTGCACCGTTGCCAAAAAAAACCTGCCCTTGGCAGACTCAAACATGCACGGTACACACACTCCTCCCTCTCTCTCTGTGTCTCTCTCATGTTCTCTCTTCCCCACCACCCAGCCCGGCTCAGTGCCACATCACCCACCCCCTCGTCCATCCTAACACCCACACTCCCCATGCCTCCCCCCCGTCCTTCCCTGTGCCTCCCCATCCCTCCGCACCCCATCCCTAACCCGTGCCTCCCCATCCACCCGGCCCCATTTACGCTGCCTCCACCGCACCCCACCCCACCCTACGCCACCCCCCCGCGACGCTCGCCTGAGAAGCTGATGATTAAAAGCCGAGGCGAGGCGCTGACTGTGTCAGTGACCCCCACCCCCCGCCAGCCCGAACCGAATTACGGCCACACCTCAGCACGCCAAGCCGGCAACAGCAGCAGCAGCGGCGGCGGTGGCAGGATTCGTGTTAATTTGATTAAAGCTCAGCCAAGCCGGCCTCATCTCCACGGCTGCACACGCTTTTATCCACGCACGCACACTCAGTATGTGTACGGCAGCAGCAGCAGAAAAAAAAGACAATTGAAATTTTTTTAAGTTTGTTCAAGATTGTTGAGCTGGGAGACCTTCGGAATTCATCTGTCCCAGCTCTCTATTTTAGCTCTGCAATCGCGCTGTGGGTCCAGTCGCCTGTTGACCCCAGCACCCTAGCAAGAGAATCACCTTTTTGAGGTCTCACCTTGAGAAATGAAGTAAAATTATGATGGTATAGGGGTGGAGTGGTGGCGCATTTGTTAGCGCACTGTGTCACCAGTGGCGAGTGACATCTGAACTGAGCCCGTTGCAGCCCCGGTCACTAACCCGCTCCTGCTCAGCGTGGTGAAGTATGGTCAAACAACCCCTGTGACCAACGTGGCACGGGTAGACCTTCATCCATTAGCGGATTAACAACGGGCAGTAATAAATATATAAGTATTCGTTTCTTTTCAGGACCCCATTGTAAACATTCTAACAACTTCAAGGACCTTTCCTGGTTAAACGGCGCACTGCCGTATTTGTTATGCACATTACAAACCACGGGGCCCGGCACCACAGGGACACAACTCCAGCTAAGGTCGGCAGTGAACTCTGGCTCGGATTTTGT